TAAATCTGATATTAAGAAAATAGATTTCAGGAAAATTAAAATATTTTGCTCTTAAAAATCTATTTTAAGAAACCAAAGAAAAATGTTTATTATAGAAAAATGAAAATATATTTTCACACAATGTTCAAAAATGTTCACAGTATGTTTTTTCCATAAATAAAATCATCCAAAATGTCCTTCAACAGGTACTAAATAAACAAACCCTATTATATCTATGAGATACAATAACAGGAACAAGTATTATAAATTATCGAGGCACTCAGACATATGTCAATGTATACTGAATGGAAGACCTCTATAGGGACAACAGTACAGAATGGGAGAAAATATTTGCAACCACACATATAAAAAGATAATATCCAAAATGTATAAGAAAATCAAATAACTCAATAGTAAAAAAAAAAAAACCAAAAAAAAACACCTGATTTTAAAAATAGGCAAAGGACCTTAATAGACATTTATTTATTTATTTATTTTTAATATTTGCCCTTTGGCTATATGAATAGACATTTATTAAAAGAAGACATGCACATGGCCAATAAGCACAGGAAAAAATGATCAGCATCACCAATCATTAGGAGAAATGCAAATTAAAACCACAGTGAGCTATTTCACAACTATTAGAATGGCTTTAATCAAAGAGATGAAAGAGAAGTGTTAAAGAGAATGCATAGAAAAGGGAACACTGTTGGGGGAGAGGTAAATTAGGATGAACACTATAGAAAATGGTATTGAGTGTCCTCAAAAAGCAAAATACAGACCTATCATATTATCTAGCAATCCCTTGTCTGGGTATATATACTCAAAGGAATTGAAATCACCCCCCAATAGAGATACTTGCACTCCCATGTTCATTACAGCATTATTCACAATGACTCAGATATCAAATCAACCTAAGTGTCTATTAATGGATCAAGGGATAAAGACAGTGTGTCATATAAACACAATGAAATAGTATTCAGCCTTAAAAAGTGAGAAATCCTGTCACTTGCAACAAGATAGATGAAGCTGGAGGAAAGTAAGTTAAATAAGCCAGACACAGAAAGATAAGTACCTCACAATCTCAATCATATATGGAATCTAATAAAGTTGAACTCATAGAAGTAAAGACTAAAATGGTGATTATCAGAGCCTTGGAGGAAGGTGAAAGGAACAGACTGGGGAGTGTTGATCAAAGGGTACATACTTTAGGATAGATGGGAGGAACAGGTTTTGAGGTCTATTGCACAGCTGGCTGACTATAGTAAATAATAACATATATTTCAATATAGCTAAGAGACTAAATTTCCAATGCCTCACCATAAAAAATGATAGGTAAGCTAGTGGATAGACATGTTAATTACCCTGAGTTAATCATTTAACATTGTATACACATATCAAAATATCACATTGTACCCCATAAATGTATACAATGAAGACTGGTAATCAAAAATAATATTAATAATATTTTTAAATCACTAAATTGTACCTCATAAATATATACTATTTTTATGTGTTAATAAAGGTAAAATAAATTTTAAAAATTAATGTAAAAATAATACTATATGACTCCATATATAAAATTCTTAGTAATACATGTATTACATAATCTAAATGTAGACTAAATTATAGTGATCAAAAATAGACAAATGAATGTCTAATGATAAATGTAAATGAAGAGATAGATTGCAAAATGACCTGGGAAGACTTTTGGGGTGATTATTATTTTGGGAAATTTTTATTTTGATGATTCCGATAGATTTTCAAGTGTACACATGTGTCAAACTGATCACATTTTACACTTTTATATGTGCTTTTTGTTGTACTCCATTATACTTCAATAAAGTATTAAAATAAAAGATATTTATTTTTATAATTATTCCTGCTCAAGTAGAAAAAATTTAAATGTTTTACTTTGAGCAAAAGGAAAAATTGATCAAGCATTAGAAGAGTCATAAAACTAACTTTCAATAATATTTGTGGAAAATTAATATTTAATGAAAACAAAAAAGTAGTCATTTTTAATAACAGTTTAATCAATGGGAAAAAACATTGTATTGTTTTCGAGATATATTTACCCAGTCAGCCTCTAATCAACACGGTGGCAACAATAATCTCAGGAAATGTTCAAAGAGTTCTCAAAACATCTATTTACAAGACAAGATCTTTCATCCTGTTTAAATAGGAGAAACTACGTAATTTTCTGGTGAGCTTTAGTCTAAACATTTACCTCTGAATAATTCAGTAGAAAAATAAACCGATGTTTAAATCTGTAATGGAGGAATGAATCTGTGATCAAAAGCAACTTGTACTTTGTTGAAATCAGTCCTTGAAAAATGGAGTATCCTAATACCCTAAACACTTTTTAGGTTATTCATTTTACTAAAAGATCACAACAGCAAATAATTCATACTGCAATATACAATTGTTTATCGAACCCATTGTTTTCCACCTAACTGAAACCAATGATAAATAAAAATCTCATGCCATCATATATCAGCATTTTACAATACCTTGATATTTTCTCCATCTATCACTTTGAAATTTGAATATATCCTTAGGTGCAATTTAAATCTCATTTGATTGCAGTGTTCTCATAAAGGGGGAGCTATATTTTATTCATTGTTCTTTCTGCTATCACTTAACACAAAAACCTGAATATTAAAGTGGACTTTGTATGTTTTCAAAAATTAGTTTCAATAAGGTTTTATGATATATACACATAGAAACCATAGATCTTACTCTACATTTTTATTTATTTCATATAAATACGTATGCTGGCATGCATGAAGAATAATTCAGAAGCTCCAGGCTTCCTTGATAAATGTGGATATGATTGAGTAAAAGTAATTTTAATGTTTGAGGTTGAAGAGGCCCCATGAGTCTCTTTCTTCAACCATCTTATTCTATAAATAAAGAAACTGAGGTGCCAGGGATGCAGGTAATGTGACTAATTAGCATATTAGCTAGTCCTAACATTCTAGTATTGGCATATTATGAGCCATTCTGCTTTACTGTGTTTGGAAACATCAAAGATGCTCAGTTTCCATAAACTCCACTTATCTGAGTATTTCCAAAAGAGATTTCATAATAATTTTATGATATGTCAAATATCTTTGAAAGTATTTAGAAAATACAACAAAAAGAATCTTTAAATATTAAGTTTCATTAATAGAGTGCATTGCTTAGCACTTTTATAGGACAGTGAAAAGAGGACAGAAGTATTCTAAGATTTCTCCTCCAAAATGGTTGGGCAGTTCAAATAGAAATCATATCTTGGCATCTTTAAGTTTTTGCTCACTTAGATTAACATTAAAGAAAACAAAAAGAAATATATATATATATATATGAAGTAAATTTTGGTTTAAATATATAAATATCAAATTATAAAATATAAGCAAATGTGTTAAAATATTGAGAAATGTTTATAATCTGCTAACAATATTTTGACCTAAAAAAGAAACATATATATGATAATAGCAAAATGGTAGAAAAGAGTTTTAGGGGGAAAATCATATTTTTTTTATTTTATTTTTTTTTTATTTTTTTATTTTTTTTTTTGAGACAGAGTCTCGCTTTGTTGCCCAGGCTAGAGTGAGTGCCATGGCATCAGCCTAGCTCACAGCAACCTCAAACTCCTGGGCTCAAGCGATCCTCCTGCCTCAGCCTCCCGAGTAGCTGGGACTACAGGCATGCGCCACCATGCCCGGCTAATTTTTTCTATATATATTAGTTGGCCAATTAATTTTTCTATTTATAGTAGAGACGGGGTCTCGCTCTTGCTCAGGTTGGTTTCGAACTCCTGAACTCAAACGATCCGCCCGGCTCGGCTTCCCAGAGAGCTAGGATTACAGGCGTGAGCCACCGCGCCCGGCCGGAAAAACATATTAATTAAGTTATCAGCATCAATTCCTTCTTTGTGCATTCTCAGTATCAGGCTATTTTGTTTGTTTTCAGGAAGTGCGATGGCAACAAAATGACTTTCCAGGAAATTGTCTAACATTATCAAACAAAATCAGTAATCCGTGATAAAAATCAAGGTGCCTTCTTCATAATCCTTTTAGAATTTGTTAATTTCTTTCTAAGAATTTCTTGACAAACACAGTCCATATATATGTACAATAATATGAATTACTTTGTTCTTGAGAAAATATTTTCTTTCTAAAGGCATTATCCATTAGAAAATGCATCTTGTTTCACAGTTACCATTACAGTCCATCAGCATTAACGTGCTGGAAATGTTCCAATAGAAATGTTTTGTCAATAGGAGTGTCTCATACATTCCCACCAAGACAGTTATGTCCTTTCAAGCATCAAAGAACCTTCAACACTGATTATTCATAAATATTTATTGAGAATTATGTTAAATGTGTTCATTTTCTAATAACAGGTATACTAAATTATTTTGAAATTCCAAGGCAATGACTTAAGGTGAATTGTGAAGGCTTTATTCGTGTTAACTGTTCCACTTCCCAAATCTCACAAAGTTATGAACATATTTTTATTTCTTCTAAAAACTATCCTGTTATAGTCCTCCCTTCCAGACAGGCAAAAAATACTATTCTGATAAGATATAAGTACTGATATATGCTACTGAAATTAAAATACTATTTTATATTATATGAGGATGTAAAATAATTTACCAAACCAACTCGAATTACAAGTGAAGACATTGCTGCATGTCTGAGACACAGAATCATAAATACTATAAAGAAACAGACAAAACTATTAGGATAGATTGACCAAATGTGTTTTGGGTTAAATATAGCACAAAAAAAAAAAAAGATAGTCACTGTTTTCAGAATAATTAATATCAAGATCATTAGATATACTGTGAAATGTCCCATAGCATCCACTAGATGTCTCCAATAACTGAGCTTTAATGGTTACATTTCTTCCAAAGCTATGCATTAAATACTAAAACATAAGCTACATAAGTATTGTGATTTTTCTATAAAAATTCTTATTTTTTAAAGCAGACAAAGCCCTTTTAATAAACATACAAAAGGAAAAAAACTTACATTCAATATCAAGGTACATGCTCTTTTGGTGCCCTCCAATTCTACTTGCAGCTTCACAGTCATATCTCCCTGAATCTGACAACTTCACATCTTTAATATGCAGTGATGAGCTTCCATGCTGCCCTTTGACTTCAATACGGCCATCTGGGCTCTGTTTACATTGATTCAGAAAAAAAGAAAGATTTTATGCTTGTTTGTGCAAAATAATGACCAAATACATAACATTATGTTATTTTCTATGTTTCTCTGATGCAAAAATCATTCTAGCTGCATAAAATATTTCTTATAGCTGAGGATAAGTTTTTAAAAAATCAAACTTTTTAAATTCTCATAACAACTTCATGAAGATTTCATGTCCCCCACCTCTATAATCATAAATAACATTGCATTGCCTCCCAGATAAAACACCAATCATTCAGCCTAAAGTTTAAACATCTCCATGTAGTATAAGTTTTCTGTGCAAGCACATTTTACAACTTGGATACCATTAATTTCAATCATTTTGAATTACTTGTGCTGTTTTGAATGTCCTATGCTTTCCATAAGCACTCTTCACAGACTTGTTGCAAATATTTCCCCTGTTTCCTCTTCCATATTTACATGTCAAGATATTACTGCCCATCATTTAATTTACTGGCAAAATATCAATTTATATTTGAAATTGTCCTTGATTGCCTAAATAAATAATTATAACTTCTTTGAATTCCATATTTTTGGGGGGACACATTGCTTTTACTAAAGTCTTGTTAGAACTTCAGAATTCATCCTGTAGAATGATATTATAGTTGAAGGAATGTGAGAATATTTTTATGGAACTTCATGTAAAAGATACCTCGATGTCTAGGAAAGAAGCATTATACTTTAATATTTTTATATAGCAAATTAAGTTATAGTGGAATTTACAAGTAGTTGAGAAAAGAAAAGGTCATCCTTCAGTTACTATTTACTATGGATTAAAAACTTGCATGTAGTTGTTTTTATTAGAATGTAGCAACAAGATACTCTATTATAATAATGCAAAGTAAATTCTTCATTTTATAAGAAAAATATATTCTTTGAAATTACTAAAAAAGTGCATTTTAAATTTATAATTTTTTTCCCTTGAAAATAAACATATTTTCTTGTTATTACCTGTTGTACATGGTATAGTTTTTAACATGTGAAAACTATTGGTGTGTAGATAATATTAGCATGCTATTAGTAAATGTGTTGGTATTTAAATATCATTAATGATGTATCAGAAATTATTAACAGAAATTCTGGAAAAACATAAATTTGGGGAATTCATGTGACTCCTTAGGAAGTTCTAGTCATTTTCAGGCTTAACATTGACTCTGTAATGATGCAGGATGTGCAGCTGACTCAGATATTTTCAATAGAAGACCAAAGACATTTTTTTCTAAAGGACATGTCTCTTTTTGTGTTACAAAAAGCATTACACATATCTGAAAGAAAATTCATTTATTTCTTGGCTTTAATTCAACACCTACTGCAGATTAAGACATCTGATATTTGATTGAGACAGGTTAATGTGCATTTTAGCTGTCTGTCTAGTATTTCCAGGTTCTATCACTGAATTAAGTCAGATGATTAGATAGAAAAATGTCTGACTATACATTATTACTCCCATTCTTTACAGAAAGGTACTCTCTGAAATTTGATTTGATGTTATAGTCTTTGTCTTTCTAGAAGGTCAGTTTAAGAATTGCTTATTTGAATATTATTTCAATATTTTTATAAAAGGTTATTTTTAGAGTTTATTGTCCTTTTACGACTCCCTTAATCAAATATCCATGTGATAACCACCTTATTTGGTTTCAAATTAAATTTTGTATTGGCAATTTCAATTGAAATTATACAAAGTGTTATGTTTATAGGTTATTTTTGTGACCTTACCTGGCTAGACATTTATTATCAAATTTAGAATCCAATTGTAGTATGCAGCATATTTGAGGTGGTCAGTATTTCCTAACTTTCTTCATTACACTGTGTCCTTGAACATTTTTAGAGTCACTAACCCCTTTGGCCTTTTGAGATAGGCCAAAAATTGTGTGTGTGTGTGTGTGTGTGTGTGGGTGGGTGTGTGCCTGTGTGTGTAACATTCTACTATAAAGAGCTAGGAAGCGGGGATACAGTGCTGAGCAAAATGGAATAGTTTCTACCTTTAGTGGCATTAAAGTTAATCAGAGAATGTACATATTAATTTTAAATTACAATACAAATAAATTGTGAAAAATACCATGTAGGAAGACCACAGTTTCATTTTGGGGGTGACTAAATGGAGGGACAGGGTGGAGTCAGAGGTATGTTTCCTGAAAAATCAAAATGTGAATTGTGCCCTGCAAATGGTGAAAGAGAGGTGGTATTGACAAGTGAATTCCAGGCAGATGTGCCAGGAGGATATACGGAAGAGAGGGAAGCAAGCAGATGCACAGAAGTGAGGGCATGTCGCTCTCCTGATGTTGAACAAGCAAATAGCGACCACATGCAAAACCCAAGACAAATACATACACACAAAAAATGTGCACCCAATTTTGCAGCCTTGCCTTATACTTTCTGTTGGTCTCATTCCTACTGGCATTGTTTCACTATTGAATGTAAAGTAAACTCAACTTCAAATACTTGATGGTAAAGACAATGTGTAACTGCTAAATATGCCAAGAGGAAAACCAACACTCTCCAAAGATCATAAGCATTAATTTATCTATACTAACATCTCAAAATTATTTTAATATTATGTTAATATGACAAAGTTCTACAGCCATACCAAGAATTGTAAACAGAAAGATTATTTTTCCTCCTTAGAGATCCTTTTATTTACTACTAGCTATATTCTCTCTGGTCTGGGTTTGCTCCCAGCTTTCTAATTTTCTTCCTATTTTGATTTTATGCACTGAGCTTTTTTTACAATTATTCTTTCTCCTAGCAGTGGAAATGATGTCATAAAGAGAAATAGGTGCAATAAAATTGCTTAACTTAGTTTCTTCACTAGGCCCCAGTGCTATTTTGTTTTCATTGCATATATTGTCAATAATTTATTCAATAACTAGGAATTGAAGACAATAATCATTTGAGGTAATGCATATGATAAATTATACCTGTTTAACAATATTCTAAACATTTTACATTTACTAGTTCATTTAATCCCAATGATACCACTATAAGGTTGGGACTAATATCATACCCATTTTAATATGAGGAAACTGATGCAGGGAAACATTAAATAGCTTGCCATATCCTACAGCTTATAAGTGATAGCAGGTGGATGTCCAGCTGTCTGGCCGTGGAGTTCATGCTCTGAATTACTTCTGCTATATAATCTACAACCAAAACCACAACTATGAGGTTGCACTACACATCAACCACATCTATGTAACACATACTCTACTGGATTCTGGAGATGGAAAGGTAAATAAAAAGGGCAAAGCTAATAGAATGGAATAGGAATGTTCCTAACACAAAGAAACGTCAAATGCCTTAGGTAATGAGCACTCTAATGACTCTGATTTGATTAATTTACATTGTATTCCTATATCACAACAGCACATGTACCATATAAAGATATACAATTATATACCCATAATAATTTTAAAAATAAATTAAAAAGTGTAAGAAAGAATAAAAAAGGAAGGCAAACCCCTTAGCAGCCCAGGAAATAGGATATAGAGGAAGAAAATGACAAATTATAATACATGCTAGTGTAGAAGAAATTCAAGAAGAAAATCATATTTGGTCTACAGAGATAGGAAGTTTCCTATAGGTATTTCTGTCTAAACTGAAGGACAAGTAATAATGATAAGCCAGGCATTGGACTGGCTCCATAATTTTCAGGGCCTACTGCAAAATAAAACATGTATTTTCTTGTTTAAAAAATATTACATTTTCAAGCTGAAGGTATCAACACATTTAACCAAACATGGGGTCATTCTGGGTGTAGGATCCTGTACAGGTTGCATCCCCACAAAGTCAGCTCTGCCCAAGCAAAAAGGAGGGAAAGTGAAACAGAGGGAATGGCTTGAAAAAATGGCAAAAATATTTTCTGTCTCTTTAAAACATCCTGCATCTCTTTTTTGCGAACTAAAACTTGCATCCCTGCCTCAGGCCAGTGGTTGGGAGGGTCAGGGTAATGTCTTCTGTCCTTTGTGCTACAGGAGATGGCTCAGCCCATGACCTGGCTGAGGGAGATCTCGAGTGGAGGTCAGGGGATTGTCTGCAGTGGATGAGGTGGAGATGGGACAATCAGTATCATAAACTCTAGTTGAACAACACTTGCCCGAAGCTGAAAACCCACCCTTTAAAAACTCTGTATTTCTGCTTATTATCATGAAGATGGCATTTTTCATACAGTAGTCCCATCTTCCTCATTTACAAGCAAAGTAATAAATTTATCTTTCCTTCTCCTCAGACCATTTGCCCTCATTCTTCTGATGCGGCCTTGAAGTTAAGTGCCGAGCTTTCGGTAATAAAAGTAGGTAGGAAATACGAGCTATATGGACTTGAGGGAAAACATGGTATGTTAAAGAATTGAAGGAAGCTCACGGTAGCTGTGATACTCAATATGAGGTGGAGGTGATGAGGTATAAAGGAGTTGGAGAAATAAACAAGAATACAATACAAAGCCTCAAAAGCCAAAGAAAAGGCAAATAAGAACATGGGAAGATGCTCCATATCATTAGCCATCATGAAAATGCAAACCAAAACCACAGGACCACTTCATACCCACTGGAGTGGCTATAAGCAAACAAAAAGACAGGTAATAACAAATGTTCACCAGCATTTGGAAAAACTAGAACCCTCATGCCTTATGAGTGGGAATATAAAATAATGCAGGTGTTGGATAAAATGTCTGAGAGTTTCTCAAAATGTTAAACGCAGAGTAACCACTACTCAGCAATTATTAATGCATTTCTGAGAGAAATTAATACATATGTTCACATAAAAAGTAGTAGATAAGTTTTCATAACAGCATTATTAATAAAGCCAAAAAGTGAAAACAACCCATTCACTGATTCATATATATATAAAAGTGGCATATCCACACAAAGAAATATTATGTAATAAAAATAAACTATTTACACATGATTTAACATGAATGAACCTTAACAATATTATGCTAAGTGGAAAAAGGTAGTAACAAAGAACACATATTGA